AGGTGCCTAGTGGGCTGGCTTGGTGGACTTGCCGCTGTTGGTTCGTTCCTAGTGGTTGTCGGAGAGTCAACAAGCGTGAGACTCGTGTCTAAGACGACTGCGCCTAATTCCAATTGACGGGCGGTAGCTTGGGGTGAGATGGGAAAGGCGGGCGATGCCGCAAAGTGAAATGCGATGGGTCGATGACAGCCAGCAGGGGGGTGTGGGAGTTGTTGACGATGACGACCGATACCAGTTGGTGATGAAATCAGGACGGGTTGGGCTCCAGCAAATAGAGATTCCAGTGACCGCGATTAGTGTCGAATGGTTGGCTCGCAGTGGGCAGGCGATGAGATGGCTCAACGTCGACGATAGCCTGGGAACGGTTGCGGTCTTATATCCAACGTGGGTGGTTTTGGAAAGGTTGGTGGCTTCCCGCCGCGGCGTCCTCGCTAGACTCGGCCCAACATGGCAAAGATACAAATCGATGTCTTTTCGAACACGTTGGTGTAGCAAAGTACGAGCTCAGAGCGAGTACCGACGAACGAGCAGATGGCTGCATTCGCAGGCGACGCGAGAAAATGGCACACGGCCGCTGTCTACAGGCTCGAAATAACAAGTGCCTGGCCTTGGTTGCAATTCTTTCGGTTGTCGTTGGTGCTTGCTTGGCTTACTTGGGTCCATGGGGTTTGTGTTCCCAGCCCGACAGTCGGCCAGACGACATCTCGAGAGCCACCGTTCCGGAAGTGGAGCGGGCAGCCATTTGCCCATACTGTGTTGGGTGCAGTCACGGCCCCCATCCATGCCATTGGCACTGAAAACTAGCATCACAAAAGTGAGGACGTCCCGGTCCTGAGGTCCGGGGAGCGATGTGTGCATTCGTGAGGCAAGTCACACAACCTAACACTGCACAGGCACGCATGTAGCGGCCAGCGGCGGGTGTTACAGGAATTGATCTGGCGAGTTGCTCCTGCAGAAGACACAGTCGGCGACTCTCTTCAAGTTGAGTTGAAGAGATATTGAACGATAGGCGGCAAAGAAGGTGGCTACAATGACCCCCTCACAAAGCTTGGCTCGAGGCGCCCCTGGGTTGGTCGCCAGGACTAGGGTGACGACGAAGATGGTAATTCGTGACGGTAAGGCGACGACTGACACCGGTAGTGTGCAGAGTAGCGCAAGTGAGGCGGATAGGGCTCGTCTGACCGTCAAAGTCTGAGAGGGCCAACTCGAGTTGCCAAGATGGAGGCGACGGGATCATCAAGGCGAGGGTTCCTTCAGGCTTCAGGGGGCCAGGAGTCATGCCGTTGCCATGTTTGATGGACAGCATGACGGGCGAGCGAAGCTGGGCTAGCAATTGCAAGGCTAGGTATCGGGGCGTATGATTCGTACGTATGCGTACTTGATAGCGTACGTTTGGTCAGATAGACCAGGTTCAAAGCCTCGTGGGATCATTCCATTGCCCCCTTTGGAAAGACTCGGGTGTTTGGAGAAGACTGGATCGACGGCTAAAGGAGGATTACAAGGAGAACCCTTGTTGCAGATCTCGCAGACAGGCGGTGGTGAGCGGTAAGCACCCAATCTTTGGCTCGCGAATGCTGTTGCTGTGAGGTTGTGGGCGACATTGAAGGGGGGCGGAGGGTACTGCGTAGTGGCAGACAAGGCGGCGGCAGATGTAGGTACTCGGTAAGGTAGAAGCATGACAATTAGAGACGCATACGGCCGTGATGGCGGGGACGGTGAGGGAGGTAGGCGTAGTAGGTAGATGGTAGCGGAGCGTTGGAGTCTCAGTCTCCCATGGTGGTAAAAGTGGTGAGAGGATTGAGGAAGAGGAAGAGGAAGAGGAGGAGCAGGAGGAAATGGTCCCATGGAATGAGCCGCCATCCATGCCGTCTGTGTTGTGTCCCGTCTAAGGTACCTTATCGTCCATCTCGCTACCTTAGTGCGCGCGGGAGGAGAGCGACGGCGGGCGGGAAGGAGGAGGACAGACCTCTTCCAAGAATGGACCTGCCTTGACCTGAGGAGACCTGAGGAACAAACTCGATGTACCTACCTTACCTGCCTTACACATGGAAGTCGCGTCGGGGGCCGGGCCTTCCCTCCAGCCTCTAGGTACCTCTGTATCTCCCTCACTTCCATTCCCAGCAGTAAGGCAGGAACCCTGTCACCGATCTTTCCTTTTACGCCTTCCACGCCTTCCATCTGAGAGGAACTGAGCCATCAAACATACCTTACACAGTACCTTAAGGTAGGTAGGTACGGTGTAGATAAGTAACCTACCCAAAGGAATGTACCTAAGGTAGGGAACCTAAGTAAGGTACCTGGCTTACCTAAGGTAGGTAAAGTCCCGGCCGCACCAACACCGCCCCCAAAGCCCCGACGTGGATAGCGCAAGGCAAGGGCCGCTGTCAGTCTGGTCCCGGCGGATTTCCAGCAGACATCAGGCGAGTTTCAGCGACCATGTGCCCTAGACTGCCATGGCGGCGCTGCCTGTGCCGATAGTAACTCGCCTCCGTCTACTACCTACCTACCTTGGGTAAAGTACCTAACGGACTGCTCTCTGCCTTAGGTACCTTGAGCTATAGTAAGGAACAAAAGGTGAGAACAGTATCTTACCTACCCGTACCTGCTCAAGGCCGGTAAGGAAGGCACTCAGCGAATCCCTACCTACCTTACCCAAGGTACCTAAGGTAGTAGTGATCCAAGACGTATCGATGTATGTACATTACGAGGGTAAGGTAGGGAAGGTAGGTAGTCATCCATGGAAGCGCGGGCAGGCACGCCATACGACGGCTTCCTGGTCTTTCCTCCCTGCCTCACTCCCTTCCTTCCTCGAATCTCTTCACCTTTCCACGCCATGGAAGGAAAAGGCCATGTGTCTAAACAGCCAAGCTACCTTAGATACTTCTCTCAAGGGCAGGAGGATCCCAAGTCAAGGTACCTGCCCAGTAAGATCTCGCACTTTCACATCCATGTGCCTCAGGTTACTTACTTCTGTGACAACGACATCTTCCTCCCTCACGGCCACCCTCAACCCAATATCGTCCACCACCACCATAACCACCACGAGCAGCAACGCATCATCACCGCCACAAGTCCAACATCTGATGATTTCTTCCCCCGCTTCTGCCGCTAACACTTTCTTATTCCTTCATCGAGTCCCGTCCTGCAGGTCCCGGAGAGTAGGGTTCCCCCTGACATTTCCTCCTCACTTCTCGCCATCCTTTTGCGGCTCGCCCTCCAGTCGCCTCATCAAGCAACCAACAAGCTTCAACCATCAAGCTTTACCTTGGGCACTCTCCTCTCTGTTCATCTCCCTCTGCTGCTGCAGCGCCGCAACCTGCATTCTCCCTCGCCTGCTAGGGAGCGTGCCTCGCTAGTGTGGGAGCCAACGAGCCAACGAGCCAACGAGCCCTTCTCTGCAGCCCGCCGTTTCGATCTTCTTCCACATCCGACTTGCTGCTCATCCGCCTCCGCTTCGGCTACACTTGCACTTTGCTTGCTGGAAAAAGCATTCATCCCGAATTCGCCAAAACACCACGAGCCTCGACTCCCTCTAGAGTCTAGAGCGTCCTCCACGGGTACTCCACGAGGTCGACATGCCCCTCGTTAGTCTACCTCGCATCGAGGCGCCCAGCTAATCCCTCGGGTACTACTCTGTACAGGGCCATCCATGGACGGATCCTCCCAGGCCCGTTGTTATCGTCATCATCTCGACTCCATCACGCTGTTCTCGTCGCTCTCTTCACCTCCCAATCCTCCCTGGCTCGCCATCTCTCACTCCATCCTACAACGCGAAGCCGCATGCGTGCTCCCTACTTACCCATGCACACCATGCGACAACGCTACCTAACACGCCGTCTTCTTCGTCTACCGGTAGGTATTCTATACAGTAAGCCAAGGTAGACAGAGTCTGCTTCTGCTTATGCTTATTGACCTACCCCAAGGGCTATTTGTACGTATCTCGCCCAACACAGTCGGCCGCCTTATTCCTAGGGCAAATACAATGCCGGCACCATTCGCCTACGGCCGTAACCATCGACCTCGGGCGCCTCCCTCTACTCGTTTAGATAGCGCCATCCACTTGCCATGCCTAGCAGGCTCAACACCATCATTGGCAACATTGGATGGAAGCGGACGAGACGTAGGCCACAGGCTCTGCCGTTCATGCTCCGGTCGGCCTACTGTCCGTTCATCATGGCACATCCGCCTGATGCCAATACGCTTGCGGGTGCGGTTGCGGTTGCGGTTACGGGTGCGGTTACGGGTGTGGCAGGTGTCCAATCATGGCATCACACCTTGGCTCCGACTTTGGCTCGCTTGGCTTGTCTCTCGCCACGACATTTACCATGGCCCTGGAAAGCGTGGTCTTCTACCTTAGTCCAGCCAATCTCGCGCGACACACACAAGCCCACCTTGCCTGCCCTCTCACCGACGGTCTCTCGCTTGTTACCGTTTTACCACTTCATCTTTGGTGCAACTTTGCCCACTTGTGCCCTGGTACAATCTTCCCTAACGCAATCCACCTGCTTCGTCCTTGTCACCATGTCCTATCCGCCCGGCCATGTCTTTGATATGCAAGTCATCCCGCCAGGGTGGGAAGGGGCAGACAATCGGTACCTTGCCTTCATTGCTGCCTCGAGGCCCGCATGTTGCAGATTCGCTTCCGAGAACTAAGGTAGGAAACTCGACATGCTGATTTGCGTGATGCGAGACATTTCTACTCGGGCCCACCTCGTGGCCGTAACGGAAGGCCCAGGACCGTGGATCCAGGACATGATGATGAATAGTTCCTTCTATTCTCGACCATATCAGTTGAAGGCCATGGTACGCATGATGTTGTCCGTAGTCCACGGTCACGGCAACGGGGGCGACGCTGCGTGAGCACTCGAGGTAATTAGATGAGGCATTCTCTAGGCTTTGGCAAACAGGACAGAGCCGTTGCTTGAGAGCCTAAACGCGAATTAGCGCTCCCCCGAACCTGGCAGCTGAGCCCCTCAAACATGCTACCCATGGGCCATTCCTTACCATGTCTTGGGTCGCGTCATCTGAGATAGCGTTCACCAACAACGATGCCGAATAGGTTCAAGAGAATGGATTGCGACCCTGTTGCTGTCGACCGCCTACCCGACCACAGGCCAATGTGCGGGAGCGCGTTGCAGCACTGAACGCCCTGTTTGTTGAGACGGGGCTATAGGCATTGGGAGTTACCTAATCCGTTTTCCCAGAAATTTTGTACTTACTCCTTGATTCGCATAGCAAAGTGCCTTGCTGCTGCATGTATAACCATGGATACGCTACATTCCGGTATGGTAAACTTACCAAGTTACCAACTGAGCTCTGGAACGACGTGTTTAGCCGCAAAAGCGTCTCGGCGGGGTGAAGGCGATGATCGCGAGAAAGAGAGAGAGAGAGAAGGTCTCACCTAATAAGATCATGCACCTCCATATTGGCCTTGAAGCAGATCTTGCGCTCACCCTCGCAACACCCTCGTCTGATACGACCGCTTTCTTCAACGCCTGCTACCATCAAACTGCTGTGCAACACCATTCTCCAGTGCGGGAGGCGGCAATGTGGTTGATCGTGCTCGAGACACCATGATTGGTCTGTGTTCCGAGCTGAGCTGGGAGAGAGTCGTGGTTGGTATGCCGAGCATGCGGCCTTGTGCCACAGTCATGTCGTTTGGACAACTCCCTGGGGCTCAAAAGAGAACCTTGCTTGCTCATCCATGGTTACTTTCAGCTCGGTATGTTGGTACAGTCCTCGGCTTGCATGCGGATAATGGCTGCTGCCGTGTCTTCACTCTCGCTAATCTACTCCAAGTATGGCCTTGTTACCAGCACAGCAGCCACACACTTCGGCATAACCACGTCTCTGGGTTCTTTCGCGCTGTTGCCAACGCTCTTGGCAGCCTCACGAAAACCTCCAATTCATGCAATGGCGACCTTGTTTGTCACATGACGGCATGTAGAGGTTGAGCAACCCTAAGCGAGAAAGTGAGCCATGGCCTTGATTTTCCTGCTCCTTCAAACTTGTTATTCAAGAGACGGCTGTCATAATCGGTATCTGGGCTCGACGTACCCAACAGCAGAGAGACGTCGGACCTCAAAAAGGCAGTATACAACTTACCTCGATGGGACCGTTTCCTTTACGCCACAGTATGACAGCTTGATCATTACCTCTCATGCGCACTCGGCAAAAGACGTTATACGACGTGTGCCCCGGACTACCTGTGCGACCTTGTTATGCGAATTCAGCCAATGCACTGATTTGTCCACGAACCAGTCCTTCGGATACTGGTTCGTGGATCGAAGACACCAGGCTCGAAAGACTTGTCTCAACTACCCGCCCCTGACTGCTGGATCTGAGGGGAACTTCGTGCTGCTTGCCGTCGAATAAGGCACATGCCGGGCGCACACCTCAAAAGATCAATACCAACTTTACGCTCAATAACTGCAAGATTCAGGCGCTTCGCCAGCTGTGTTTTGCATATCAGATTGCGTGCGCAATCGATTGTTGGGCAAAGTATCCTATGTATCTTCAAGTCCTCGACTCAATTGACGCTGCAGCATAGCACTGCTTTCTCTGGGCAGCGCCATCTCACATAAACTTTGTTGATACAGCAATTCCAATCACGACGCGCGACAAGTCCCCGGCAGCATTTGGACTGAGCACTTGACTTGTCGCCTGTCGTACCGGACGAGATCATCCCTGTATTCTGGCTCTAATCGGTAACGGCAGCATCATCTTCCCGACGCGATTCTAGAGCTCGTGGTAGAACCCGTGATTCCAGACGACTTTGAGCGGGCGCCAGGCTCGTAGCACGACAGTATGGCACGCAAATGACCTGGTCGCACCGTTCAAGTCTCTGGAAGCTCTGCGGGTTGCCGTCAGCATACCTCATCTCGGTTTGTTTTTCCACGATCCTGCAGCAAGGCGTGTGCAACCAATCAGCAAAAAGAAAGGAACACAAGAAGAACATCTTCTGTGTAGATGCTCGCAAAGATGTGTTGCGTTGCGTTGCGTTTCCGTACTCTACCTATACGGAGTACCGTGACTACCGTACCTCACTCTCGTTTAGACCTGGTCTGGTGACACGACCAAATTTTCTTTTATTCGGGATGACCATGCTGGCAATGCTGGAGTCGCCCCCGACTCCCCGTTCGTGTCATGTCAGTCGGCCAAGAAGAACTTTCCAAGATAATATGAGAAAGTGGAGAGATGTTGGAATAAGAAACGAAGGCGTTTCGTGGCGTTGGGCGTTAGTGGACTAGACGTGTCGTGAAGAGCTAATTCAGCGTGGGGATGACCAGCATTCGAATTGTTTTGCGAGTCTATCGACCTATTCTGTCGCCATTTATGTGGCCCAAGACGATACTAACAGGCTAACCGGATAGCTAGCTCATCTACGAAAGTGTCATTGTCAAACTCTAGGCCTCCCTGTTCGGTAAGTCGTGCCTCTAGCGACGGGACATCATCAAGCCCGTGGTTTACGCAGCCAAGGGTGCCACGGGCAGCCGCAGCGCCAACACGGCTTGGCTCATTGCGTTGGACTGTGGACGCAGTGGGCCAAGGTACGGACACAGTTGATTGCGATATCTTGAGCGACATAGCACTAGCCTGCCGTGCTTCCAGATCTTTCAGGATCCCGGTCGCTTCTTCCCCTCGACTCTTCAGTCTCACTCTCATGTGAATATGGGGGTTCACGAAACCCAATGGCTTGGCTTGGCTTACCCGTGAAGTTGCCGCTCACAATCTCGACTGGGTCTTCCTCTACCGCACACTTTCTGCCATCCACGCACGGCGTGCCTGGTGCTATTGGTCCCGCGTTGATAGCTCATTAGCCTCACCGGTTTTCGTTTGATTTGCGACCACGTGGGAGGAGTAATGATCGCCAGGACTAGCCCCTCGAGGGCTACGTTTCGCGTTTCCGTCGTGCCCAGAATGGGTCGACCTCCAATGATCCAGAGTGCTTCAAATTCCAGGCCTAGTCGAGCTTATAATCACGCGGGAGAAGGGGGTAAATTGCTCTGGGATGGTCGTCGCTCGAGACTACCTAGACGAACGACCGACCTAGTCAATAGTCCCTCGGGAACGGGTGACCAGCGACGACGACACAGTAGAGATCGACGACAAGCATTACCTTGCCTTGGCTCTTGGGGACGACTCCATCCGATCGGCCTAGAACTGTAAAAGCTAGGGTGCAGGGGGGAGAAAATCTCCCAACTCACCGTTACTTTGGGGAGGGGCGAGCCAAGACAGCGAGCCTGCCAGTACATACTTGTAGAGCATCATCAGGAATAGGCACAATGCGCAGGAGACGAGTTCCCCCTAAGCCGCCCCTGGTGGCATCTGCATGTTCCCGTACACCGACACAGGTTTATGGCAGAGAGCGGTGGGAAGCTGCATCATCTCGAGCAAGTATGTTCATCAGATGATGCAAAGAGCTTGAACATGCGGTCCTTGCTTGCCGCGCTTCACGCATACTCCACCTTCATCGACTGCCAACCTGACCTTGCGGCCGTGTCTGGCTGATGGTTCACTTCCGATGACGGAACAGATGGTTGCCGCTCCTCAACATAGACTGGAGAATCGAGACCAGGAATATCTACCCAAGATCCGTGGTACGGGTCCCCTTGAGCCAGTCTGCCGCCCCAGCTGCTCAGCGCGACATCCGAGGGCGGGGAATACAAAGTCGGACACCAACTCAACACACACGTCTACTCTTTCTTAGATCCAAGGTGGCATGCCTAGCTGAGGCGCAAACCGCGCTCGGTAGCCCTCCCACTGCCTCCCTGCTGGGTGGGGGCTGGATGACACCAAACGAACAACGGGATCTACGGAGTACGCGATGGCGCTTCCTAATTTGACGCGTCCTTCGAACAGACTGAGTCCGGGTAACCTAAATATACTGCACAGTATTACATGCTTTTTCTGGCTTCCTTTTGGCTGCATGACCTGGATGGAGACTCTGCACAACGGTTCGGTCCCAGCACGACGGCTTGAGCGATGTTCTCCAGGGAAGATACGAGTCTGACGACATTGCTGCAAGGCATGCCACTCAATCCCAAACCGCACGACCTTCGTACCTCACCATCGCGCCTTTCCCTGCCTGCTAACTCATACGAGGTATCACTGTCCTCTGTAGCGCAATCGGCTCTTTGGTGGTCGAAAAAGTATAGCATGGATCACCGTGGCTCTCACAACAGCCCTCTGGGCTCTACCACCAATCTCTCGACCAGGCATGTCACCAACACCCTGCAGGTCTCGATCAGAGTCAGTCTCGCTCGTAAAGGTCCTCTATTGGTCCAACCTCTTATGACCACCTAAGCCCCGAGGGAGTGAGGCGTTCTGCTGTGCCCTCGCGGCGATCCCACTCCTGGTTTCTTTTCTCTCGCTCCTTGTCCCTCCCTCCCTCCTTCTCCTCATGTACGGATGTACCCGAGAACTGTGACCTTCCACAGAGCAGGGGGTTGATCATAGACCAACTCGAGGCGTGGTATTTGCGAAGCTCAGTGGGGAGCTCAAGGGGGGGCGTGGGGTGTGAAGAAAGCAGCTACCTTATGTTACTGCAACGCCTCGGGCCACATCTTGCAGCCTCTTTAGTTTGCTCGGCTTCTCAGCAGATCAGACGCTCCTCACATCTGCAAGACCTGTTGACAAATTCTCCTCAGGGTTGTGGCTTTTCTTGGAAAGAGGGGCTGACTCGTTACTTCAGCTGTCGACTGAACGGCCAGGCACTTTTGCGGGTGACACTTGATCAGGGACATCGACTGCAGCTCGTCCGTATCGTGGCTCAACGAAATGTACCCCCCTCGAGCGCGACATGGCTCTAGATTGAAAACCTATGGAAGTATTCTTTCCAAGTAACCTAGCAACAGCCCATGACTTTTTCGTCTCCAGTGACGGCACTTTACTGTGAGATCTTTCCATGGAACGTTTCATGGCTATGATGTTCCCATATCAGGATGCCGATCCGGCTCCATCACCTCCGCGGTTTCCAATCGATCGAAATCGCCAGGGCTGACTGGGCGAGTGGTCGAGGTATGAACATCGACGAACCCAGGGGGGGATTTACCACTCACCTCGGCCGACCTTTCATCCTCAGACAACGGAGCTCTCTCCTCTTTCTCTAGAGGCCCGTGGAGGAGGGACGACGTGACGACTTTTGTCCGGGGGCGCTTCGGGATCGAGACACGACATGCTTGAATAGGCGAGTCCGGATGCTCGGCGGATCAGGGGCTCGGATCACGCTCGTCCCACAATACATGTAGGCTGTTCCGTCAAATTGGGTCCAAGGAAGACGCAAGAAAGAAAGCGAGAGAGGGAATAGCTTCCTTGGAGTCTCCGTAGAGTACCATGTCCATTGCACCCCGGATCATATCGACGCGCACTTCGCCTGTTCTTGCCTTGCCTTTCTTGATAATGGCATTGTTCACCACGGTGAATCGGGTCGCAGGGTTACAGGTGAGTTTGGAAAGCGTAGCTCAGAGTCAGGTGAAGAGGGGGTCAACAGAGGCCCCGGACATGATCGGAGTGATATTGGCTCCCTACGCGGGGCTTCTGTGGTCTCTGCTGGATAGTCAGGTTGTCTCGGAAAGGGTGTTGTTTGTTGGGCTTTAGCTTTGGGCTCCTGGAGTATGTCGTAGATGTTGTCTCGCAGCGGCGACGCCTGGAGGCTTGGGTGAGTCCGTATGTGCCGGTCCGAGCCCGATACGACTGCGTCTGTGGCGGAAGTTGAATCAAGGCAATCTCTGTGGACGTTTCCCTCGGTTGGTTTCTATTGACTTTTGAGGTCATTGTCGTCTGATAGGGGAAGAGCTGGGCTTGATGTTGAAATCACCGTAGATATCCAAAGGGATTTGGTGTTGCCTTGCATCGCGTAGTAGAAGAAGACGTTGCTTACTTACTTCGTCGAGGGAACAATCACCTCGTGGCCCCTATTTGCAATTTTCTCCTGACCTTGAAGTGAAATTCCAAGTAGTTCATAGATTCTTTACTTGATTTCACTCATTACTGAAAGATGTGTTGGCTTTTGAGATTCGACGATGTCACCTGCCAGGGAGTTTTGAGGAATAAAGATGACGTTAAATGACCTTCTAGGTTTATCAGAATCCGCTTTCTAATTTCCTCTTCTTGTTTGAAATACTCTTATCCCTCTATAAACGCAATTATATTTCACAGGATTGATGTTCATCTCACATCTTGATCCATTTCCACCTCGATGATCAAAATAGAGCGATCGCTGCCGTTTCCAATCGTCCAAGTTTTCCTCAGCTTCCACGTTGAAGGTTCCAAGTCACTTCAAAGTTCGTCCTTCACAGCTCTTTGCGTACGGTCATAACTCTTAGCCTTGAAGCCATCTCCAGGTTGCGCGATTCTCCGTAAACGGAATACCTTGGCCGCATGGCTGGGCACCGAAGCCTTCAACACACCTCTGGCCTCGACTTCGCCAATCTTTTGGCCAAACAGCCTCGGGTCCTCCTTCTCCAGACCGAGGGCATAAGGCGTCTCGGTAGCATTATACCATTCGGCATCCCGTAGAATCTTGGCCCGCGCGACGTGGCTCTCGGCTGCGAATAACGACTCTGCCGTCTCCGTAGGCATCCTATCGGCCCAGAGATCGTGAACAGCCCATTTAGACTTGACCTGCGGCGCCGAGCCACCAGGCCCATCTGCCACGAAGATCTCCGCGAGCGAGGACTTCATTTCAATATCCGCGCCGGCGGCGTTGAGCAAGATGACGACCTGGTCTCCGTTCTCCAACCGCCCACTCCAGACCTGTGCTTCAGCAACGCCAAACTCGTCCGGAACCAGATCCCCTCCGACATCCCTCCTCACCCTCAACGCGCTGCGGCCGTGAGGGTCCTGACTGATGGCGATGATGGCCGGGTTGTTGACAATACTTAGCGCCTCGGCGGGCATATCCCGCAGATCGTTGCCGAGCATCAGCGGCGACTTGAGGGCGGCCCAGAGGGCGAAATGCGCCTTGTACTCCTCGTCCGTCATGCCGCCCTGGCCGACCTCGAGCATGTCGAGGTCGTTCCAGCCGCCGGGGATGCCACGGTCGGCGAAGGTGGCGACGCGGTTGATGATGAAGAGGACGGAGCAGTGGGTTCCTGGCGCGATGCAGAAGGGGTCCGAGGCCTGGTTGCAACTGCAGAGGTCGTCGGGACGGGTGAAGGCGTCGTAGATGTCGCCTGACATGCGCCATGCGTTTGAGATGGACATTCCCCACTGCTAGAGTGTCAGTAAAACAAATACAGAAGTCATAGACATGGGATGGTAGCGAACTGTGTGAACGTAGTCTTCGCCCCAGTTGCAGAGACTTAGGGCGATGGGGCGGCCCGTTGCGTTGAGGGCATCAGCCATGACTTTGAACCTGTTGAAGGAGATTTGCGGTGTTCCCATGCGGCCCATATGGTAGCAATTGTCGTATTTGAGAAAGTCGACGCCCCATGACGCGAAGCTCTGAGCATCGTCGTGTTCATGATCGAGAGAGCCCGCTGCCTTGCGTCAGTATTGTTCATCAAAGCACCATCGTGATAGAAGTGAAAATGAAATACTCACCAAATCTGGCACAAGTCATCTCGCCAGCACTCGAGTACATGCCATATTTGAGTCCCTGGCTGTGAAGATGGTCCGAGACGTATTTCAGTCCGTTAGGAAACTTTGCGAGATTTGGCTGGAGCTTTCCCTTGGCATCGCGACCATTCTCATCTTGCCAGCAGTCATCCAGTACTACGTGATTGTAGCCCAGATCACGGAGGCCCAGACTGACGACACGCTCTGATGTGCCCAGGAGGAGGTCTTCGGAAACATCGCATGCGAAGGCATTCCAGTTGTTCTGATGATTGTAAGTTGAAGTCTACACTTCCGAGCAGGTTCTTGTAACTTACCCAGCCCATCGGAGGTGTATCGGCCAGTCCATTGCTGAGAGCGGCAACCCGTCCAGCGGTTGCGATCGCGGCCGCAAGACTGAGCGATTTATATGACATCTTATATTCGAAGTTCGGACGGCGGAACCGAAAACAGTCTCTGCCTCACTCTCAAGACTTTGATAGGGGCGACGAGAACTCAATGTCGGCACCTTCTTATACAGATCATGGCATGGAGAAAAGTGGCATCGTAGATCCATTCAACCCCACCATCGTGGCTATCGCACGTTCGTTCTCATGTGTTGCTCTCCGACTTACAGGATGCCCGTTCCCGCTGCCAAAGTGAGGGGCTTAGAGGGGTCGACATCAGACGGTGAGGTCAAGCCAAGACGAACAAGGGGCGGAAAAGTCGTCGAGTTTCCCGCCTCTTCTCCGCAGTGTTGCAGCAACGACCCTCCCGAGTCATGCAGGCTCACCCGTCAGTCAACCGGCCTGGACGCCGATGGGACGAAAATCACCGGCCGGAGAGGAGACATCACCGGACGCCAAGACGTACCCCGCTACTGGGCAGAAGATGTGTTGGTTGAACGGTGTATTTCTCGGAGTCAGAACATCGCGGCTTACCCCTGTCACGAAGATGAGCCTGCTTCACGAGTTGTTTTGCTTGTCACATGTTGCAGCAAACATACTATTCAAGTCCACTGCATTGACATAATTGTCTCCATCACCGGGCCAAGAGTCCGGAAGCGGTTCCCCAGCTACACTACACAGGTCCGGCTCCCCTCACCGGGGGCCCGTCCATCCACAATGACTCCATCGCCTCCCCGTCTCCGCGTTCCTTTTCTTCCATTGGCTCCGCGAACTCAACCAGGAACCTCAACATCCAACGGTCCAGAACGAAACTCGTGTCGATGCTCGTACGTGCCGTCTGATGGAATGCTCTTAGACGGCTGATGGCCCGGTCAGTAGTAGGCCAGTAACACCGTAGCTGCATCAGCAACTCGAAATTTCTCTCCAGGCGCCTCCGAGCCACACTGATATCCGCCTCATCCCCACTGAACAAGAGTGTGTGAATCTGTACCGTCGACGCAATGACGAGTACATGCGCCGTCATCGTGTACCGCACGTCCGACCCGGCTGTTGTCTGGGCGCGGTAGACCATGTCACATAACCGAGCCGCGTGTTCCTTGCAGCGCTTCGCGTACGAGTCCCTCCTTGCGACAGAGGCTGAGGCAGTGGGGTTGATGGCTGTCGTCGCCGCCGCGCCGTAGAGAAACTGGTAATACAAGAGCTGGCCAAAGTGGTAGTAGCCTAGGTAAACGGCCGCGTATGTCCGGCCCTGGCCACGGGCCGCAAACCAGGCAAAGTTTTCCGGGGTATCACGCATATTCGCCGGGAGTGCGGCGAGCCAGTCTTCCATTCTTATTCTCAGAGACTCAACGCCCTGCTCGAGGACATCCCAGGTAGGATTATCCGCAACGCAACGCTGGTTAAAGTCGTTGACATCCAACAGGATCCTGTTGAGTCTCACCATCTGCGAGAGGAGTTGAGAGCTTTGGGCGGCCGATGCCGTACCCGTTACTCCGGATCCGCTGCGGCTCAACGAGAGAAACGGTAGATCGTCCATCGGCAAGGGGATATCGGATCTCGCCGGGAGCAGCTTGGGTAACTTCACCGCAGTGGAGGACCACACGTCGATCATGCAGAGCGACCACCAGACTGGGAACCGACCTGTCAGCTTTGAGTTCGTGCCTTGCATAACACAGTTACAGATGAACGTGGCCAACGGGTAAACAATGGGAAATGGAGGCTCAATCATACCCCGTATGTTGATCTCTCGTTCCAAGAGACTGGTAGCCGGTCTGCCTGGCAGGTCCAGCAGCTGCGCCATGCGGCATGCGACGCCGTAGTAGATGTTTTCTGATTCTCCATCGCCATTGGCAGTCAATGCTGCCCCTATCAACACGCAGAGTTGTATCGTTGGGAGAGATACATCACGTAGGTTTAGAAGTGCCTCGGCAGCTCGTATGTAAGCATGGCTTCTGTCTCGAGGGTCAACATCTGCAAACTGCGGGTCGGTTGAGAATCTACGGTATCATTAGAGTTGTGGTTTATTCCATCTCATCGGATCCACTTGTCCTGCCTGGCAGCATACGAAAAGACGCACCTCGCAGATAGCGCGCAGATACCATAAAGGATGCTGTGGTGCACTCGGTCGCCGAGTGCATCCTCAATGAAACTCGGCCGATGGAAGAGGGAATGGAACTGGTCATGGATGTAGTCAAAGTAGAGTCTGACGAGGTCCAGCCGGACCGGCAGACTGGGCAGTGCGGCGGCGGCATGTGAAGTAGTCTCACAACGGGTGCACCAGCCACCACTTTGAGATGCAGACGATGCACTTTCGGCTGCTGCGCTGTGACTACTTTGCTGATGTACGGATAGGTTCCGCTCTTCTACCAGGCGTTCTTTACGCTGATTCTCTCGTTGCTCATAGTAGCCTCCCTCGGGCGGTCTTTGATCGCATTTGATGCCCCTCTCGTCGCAGTAAACGCAGTCAATGAGGCCCTCGCGAGTTTGACACTTACGCCTGCGGGCCCTAGGATATTTCTCGTCAGATCACAAGACGGCATGAAAGTGGCATGAAAGGTCCAAAATGGGACGAGTATGTTACCGGCACGCAGCACAAGCCGAGGGTTTCCGCATGCCAGCGGGGCTGGGAATCCCCTCGGACTGAACACCGCCCTTTGGTTGCGTATATGTCGTGGTCTTGTCCGCAGCAAGAAAAGGAAGCAAAGAAGAGGGGGCGATTGCAAGCAGCAACTGCAAGAAGCGCAATACTCCGTCAGGAATTCCGATTTCTTCCAAAGATGACTAGGGTTGTATCCCACCACGCGGTGGTTACCCGGCCGAGTTGGTTCGACCGGGACTCAAGAGACTCAAGAACCCCCTCCCCTGCCGGGCGGTCTACCACGGATCGGGAAAAGGCGGCGGGAAACGTGCGGAAAAGTCGCTCAAACCTTGCCCTGGACATCTGATCGGTGACACCCACAAGCCGTTGGACGAATGATCGCATCGCTTTGCTTCCCCAAAAGTCTCGACCGACCCGTTGCTCCCAACCCCAGAGAATTCCCCATGGGACCCTCATATGATACAGCAGACTTTGAACTTGTTGTACGACGTTGGCACGTTGGTTCCTCGAAACGTCTGATTGCCAATGTTGTCCCCTTCATCTTCATGGGGTTCTCCGCATTGCCTCGGCATTAAAGTGAAAGTGGTTGGATTAATCTGATGTTGGGATTGGTCTTTCAGAGTTTGGCACTCTCGGAGTCGCCAAGTCCCTCAAGTCGTCCCGTGGTAATGGTAGGTTGCAAACGGCTTCCCCGCCTTCACTTTCTATAAATGCGACCCTGTGTTCCCATGTTGTGGATGGTTCTGTGAATAACCTCATTCGTAGTCGCCTAGGCTTCAGGTGCTCTCTTGCAAGAGTCTTCAGCATGGCTCAGACAAAGACTGTGGGCGCCGAAGCGGTGCCAACCGTCAGCCACCATAATGACAACAACCCTGGTGAGGCCATCACGGCCATGCAGAACGAGCGCCAGATGAGTGTGAGGGACTCGTTTCGCTTCTGGCCGAAAGCGATTCTCTTTTCCTTCATCATCTCTCTAGCCATTATCATGGAGGTATGAGAATCTTGGAGTAGTTCAAAGCAAGAGCGCGACTGACTTCTTCAAGGGCTATGATACCAACCTCATGAGTAACTTTTACGCCTTTCCGGCTTTTATGAAGCGGTACGGCGACCAAGTCGATGCCAATGGCGACCCTCTAGTCTCGGCTCGCTGGCAAACCATCATCAACAACGGCACCCAGGCGGGTTCAATCCTTGGCCTCATCCTCAATGGCATCATCACCGAGTGGATTGGCTACAAGAAAACCATGATTGTCGCCATGGTTGCCATGATCGGGGCCGTGTTCATCCCCTTCTTCTCCAACGGTCTCCCAATGTTCTTGGCCGGAGCCTTGATTCAGGGCATCCCCTGGGGTATCTTCCAAACCCTCGCCGTTACCTACGCGGCTGATATCTGCCCCATGTCACTTAGAGGTTAGTTGTCTGTCTGAGCACATCTGGCTATACTCACCTATTAACTTTAATGGCAGGATACATGACGTCTTGGGTGTATGTTTGATCGAACCCTCTTCCCACGGAGTCTGTCAGCATTGCTAACAAAGACCTCTAGAAACATGTGCTGGGTCATCGGCCAGCTGATCAGCAGTGGCATGCTTCGAGGGCTTTTGCAAATCGACAATCAATGGGGATACCGCATTCGTAAGACAACCCAATTGACCTTACCGTTATGAGAAATCATTGACTCGAACTCATCGCAGCATTTGCGATCCAATGGGTCTGGCCCGTACCCATCATCATCGGCACGCTCTTCGCCCCCGAAAGCCCATGGTGGCTTGTCCGCCAAAACCGCCTCGAGGACGCGCGCGAAGCAGTCCGCAAGCTGACCTCTCCAAAGAGTGACATTGACTTTGACCTCGACGCCCACATCGAGATGATGCGTGTGACGAACCAGTTTGAGATCGAGGTCAGTTCGGGCGCTCACTACTGGGACTGCTTCCGCGGTGTCGACCTTCGCCGCACCGAAATTGCGTGCATGGTATGGCTGACGCAGTCTTTCTGCGGCGTGCCGTTCATGGGCTACGGCACGCAGTTCATGATCAACGCCGGCCTCAGTTCCGAGAATGGGTTTACGATGAGTTTGGTGCAGAACTGCATCGGTCTCATTGGTTGTATCATTGCCTGGTACATCATGACTCACATCGGCCGTCGCACTCTGTACCTGGCTGGTCTATCGGCCATGTTTGTGATTCTTGTCGTCATCGGTGGCATCGGTATTCCGCAGGACGCTGCTGGGTTACCAGCGCGGTCATGGGCCGTGGGAGCCCTCATCATCGTGATGCTCTTCTCCTTCCAGCTCAGCGTCGGTCCCTCATGCTATACCTTGGTCGCGGAGATGCCATCTACCCGTCTTCGTGTCAAGACAGTCGCCCTTTCTCGCGCCTTTTACAATTGCGGAGGCTTCATCGTCAACGCGCTGCAGCCAAAGATTGTGGGCAAGAATGACTGGAACTGGGGAGCCAGAGGCGGCTTCTTCTGGGCCGGAATCACTGTGCTTTTCCTTACGTGGACCTTTTTCCGTCTTCCGGAGCCCTTTGGTCTTACATACTCGGAGATTGACTTGCTCTTTGAGCACCGTGTTGGCGCTCGTCACTTTTCGCAAGAGGCGGCTGACTCTCTACGCCCGCAGCTGGAAGAGGTCGCCAACCGTCATGAGAAACTGGCTGCTACGGTGAGCCATGAGGAGGCATAGTCGAATGAGAACTTTGATCACGCTTAATGAACTTAGGTCTTTTGGGCAGGAGCAAATCCTTCCAAGTATTGTTCAGTAAAGAGGCTTAATCAACATTGCTCCAGTCTAATCGATTATTTCTACTAAATCAAATCTCTCATCGTAGCCCACTTTCATGCATGATGTAAAAGTATCTTCGTAAGAAATCATAGTCTGCTTCCTGCTATCCACTGACGTGCCATCCCAGGTTATAGTAAGACGGACCCCAGGATAGTTGCACCAATTCATTGTACCACTATGTGCGCACTTTGTCAAAATCTTTGCACCACAAAGCTTCCAATATATCATAGTAGGATCTGAGGCGTCCTCCAAGGCCCTACAAAGTTGGCCATGCTCAATGAAGACAGCTTAAGGAGCCAGGCTGATGCAGCCGTTGGTGCTGTCCTCCTGGAAGATGCCGCTGTAGACAATGCCCTCATCGATGCCGTCCGGCTGAAAACCATTCTTGGTGATATCGCCCTGACCTCCGACGGGCTTCTTCAAAATACCAAAGTGGTATTGACCTTGACCCTTGATATCGTTGCTCTGGGGTTCCCCCTGTGCCTCCAAGTCGTTGTTATCGGTCGAGTAGAATACCTGGACCGTGCTGAACGAAGTGTTAGTATCCTATAACGCACTTCAGGCTCAGAAAGGACTCACTTTGCGGTGAAATCCATGGTCACAGCAAAGTTATGAATGGTGTTCTCCGCGAAGGGAGTGCTGAATAGGACAGTAGGTGCCGGCTTGGTGTTGACATTGCCAAAGAGTTGCAGTGTATCTGGGTCGACCGTTGCGTCGCCGCCGAGGATGGTGCCGGTCTTGAGCACAACTTGATTTGTGCTGAAATCATTACTCTCCAGGAAAGCTAGCTGATACTCGTGCGAGAGATTAAGGGGACGCTGGACATCTTTCGAGAGACTGAAATGCAACGTCTTGATGCCAGTCGTCGACTCATCCGTTCCCGTGTTGGATGATGGGATGAGCTCAGCGCGACGGAAAGCTGTCTGCTTGTTGAAGATTGACTGATCGCTAGTATAGCCGTTAGCTGAACATACCTATGATGATCCGCTGGGGCTGAAGCTGACCTGATTGTGACTTCAAGGGGAACGTTGTCGTTGCCGTCGAATGGCGAGCTGGCTTCATTAGGCAATTGCAACACTTTGCTGAAGCTCAAGCCAGCTCCAAAGACATTCTGAGGACTGAAGAGATTGTTCTCAGCATCGAACGCTTCTGCCTCGGTTCCGGTTGCAACTCTGCCGTCAAATTGCAGAGTACATTGCTGAGCCACTGCCACTGAGGCAAACGAGAGAAGAGTGAATGACTTGTAGTACTGCATGATGGAGAACTGACGTTGGACCAGCCTAGATCGAAAGAGTGAACCGATAGATTTACAATGGAAAGAAACGAGCTGACATTGAGCAATTAAGAATAACACCATGAGATCGCGACGTGCAAAATTCAAAGCGGCACGAGGACAGCCTTTAAGTAAGTTATTCAAATACTTACTTGCTGGCTAGTGTCTCCGGCCCAGAGGGACCATGAGATACACCGATCGCCGGCGATTCATGCGCTCGTGCCAAGAGTTTGAACGTGTTCGTCGTGTCTTTAGATTCGGCACCAAGCGAGCTGAGGCCTGTCAGACCCTCATCCAGGTCCCGTTCTGATTTCAAACAAGACACGGCAACTAAAAGAAGGTCCAGACTGAGGAAGGTTTCCCTCTCAGGCCGGTGTGATCGGGGAGAACACGGGCGGAGTTTCTAGTATTAAGGTTAGGTTGACGTGAATGGCAGTTGGCTGAGGCTCAATGGGCGGATGTCAAGACGCCTGTTGGGACTATCGCAAGGGTGCGCGCCGGGGCGATGGAGATCAAACGAAGCCGTCTCAGTGACGATACATACAACGCTGGCATCTCCCTCAACGTCTCGTGATATTCACGGAGCGGAAATATCAGATGGATGAAGCCGGCAGCTGTCGGCAATATGAGATGAAAGCGGGATCCTTGCGCAATTGACTGTGTACCTTGTTCACAATGCGCGTGTGTTGATAGTGCGTACCGTGCTCCTGCCGGCTTCGTCTCATGTATTTACATGACGCTCAATCCAACGGCTTAAGCACATTGCCGGTGAGATGTCATTTCCCCGCATCGCTCAAGTTTTTGCTTCTAGAAGAACGTGAATCTGAATACCATGTCGATCATGCCACGCCGAGACGGCTGATCGGTTGTGATGGATGATCCGCAGATAGCATAGCTAGTGAAGCTCATCGTCGTCTAGCGATTGCGGTGGAGATGGTCCCGTATGAGAGAGACTT